CCGCCCCGCAGGTGGCCAAGCAGCAGGAGCAGTCGGCCACCACGCAGAAGGCGGAGCGCGAGGTGACCAAGATGGTGGTGGTGATGGTGCTGGGCTTCCTGGTGTGCTGGCTGCCCTACTGCAGCTTCGCGCTCTGGGTGGTGACGCACCGGGGACATCCCTTCGACGTGGGGCTGGCCTCCATCCCCTCCGTCTTCTCCAAGGCCTCCACCGTCTACAACCCCATCATCTACGTCTTCATGAACAAGCAGGTGGGGACGCGGGGACTTGGGGACGTGGGGAAGTGGGGACATGGGGAAGTGGGGACACTGGGATGTGGGGACACAGGGATGTGGGGACACAGGGATGTGGGGATGTGGGGACACGGGGACATGGGGGCACGGGGACATGGCGATGTGGGGACACTGGGATGTGGGGACACAGGGATATGGGGACACAGGGATATGGGGATGTGGGGACACGGGGACATTGGGGACACGGGGGTGCGGGGACATGGCGATGTGGGGACACTGGGATGTGGGGATGTGGGGACGTGGGAACACAGAGATGTGGGGACATGGGGACATGGGGATATGGGGATGTGGGGACACAGAGATGTGGGGACATGGGGACATGGGGATATGGGGATGTGGGGACACGGGGACATGGGGATATACGGACATGGGGACACGGGGACATGGGGATATGCAGACATGGGGACGCGGGGACGTGGGGACATGGGGAAATGGGGACACTGGGATGTGGGGACACTGGGATGTGGGGACACGGGGGCACAGGAACATGGGGACATGGGGACATGGGGACACTGGGATGTGGGGACACGGGAACATTGGGGACACGGGGGCATGGGGACATGGTAATGTGGGGACACGGGGATGTGGGGACATGGGGACATGGGGACACGGGGACGTGGGGACACAGGGTCAGGAGGACACAGGGGGACGGTGAAGACATGGGGATATGGGGACACAGACATGGGGACAGGGGGACACAGGGTCACGGGGACATGGGGACACGGGGATGTGGGGATACAGGGTCACGGGGACATAGGGACACAGGGACACAAGGATATGGGGATGTGGGGACACAGGGACACAGGGACATGGCAGTGTGGGTACATGGGGACACGGGGACATGGGGATGTGGGGACATGGGGACACAGGGTCAGGAGGACAGGGGGACAGTGAAGACATGGGGATATGGGGACACAGGGTCACGGGGACATGGGGACACGGGGATGTGGGGACATGGGGACATGGGGACACGGGGACACGGGGACACGGGGACGTGGGGACATGGGGACATGGGGACACGGGGACACGGGGACACGGGGACACGGGGACACGGGGACACAGGGTCATGGGGACATGGGGACATGGGGAACACAGGGACACGAAGACGTGGGGATGGTGGGGACAGTTGGGGTGATGGGGGTGGTGGGGACAATGGGGACATGGGGGCAGTGGGGGGATGGGGGTGTTGTTGTGAGTCTGGGGTCCCTCTGTGGGTCTGGGGCTGTTCCTATGGGTCCTTCTGTGGGTNTGGGGACACGGGGACATGGGGATATACGGACATGGGGACACGGGGACATGGGGATATGCAGACATGGGGACGCGGGGACGTGGGGACATGGGGAAGTGGGGACACTGGGATGTGGGGACACAGGGATGTGGGGACACAGGGATGTGGGGATGTGGGGACACGGGGACATTGGGGACACGGGGGCACGGGGACATGGCGATGTGGGGATGTGGGGACGTGGGAACACAGGGATGTGGGGACATGGGGACATGGGGATATGGGGATGTGGGGACATGGGGACATGGGGATATGTGGACATGGGGACACAGGGTCATGGGAACATGGGGACATGGGGACATGGTAATGTGGGGACACGGGGATGTGGGGACACGGGGATGTGGGGATATGGGGACATGGGGACACAGGGACGTGGGGACATGGGGACACAGGGTCAGGAGGACACAGGGGGACGGTGAAGACATGGGGATATGGGGATATGGGGACACAGACATGGGGACAGGGGGACACAGGGTCACGGGGATGTGGGGATACAGGGTCACGGGGACATGGGGACACAGGGACACAAGGATATGGGGATGTGGGGACACAGGGACATGGGGACATGGCAGTGTGGGTACATGGGGACACAGGGACATGGGGATGTCGGGACACAGGGTCACGGGGACATGGGGACATGGGGACACGGGGATGTGGGGACACGGAGATGTGGGCATACAGGGTCACGGGGACACAAGGATATGGGGATGTGGGGACACAGGGACACGGGGACATGGCAGTGTGGGTACATGGGGACACGGGGACATGGGGATGTGGGGACATGGGGACACAGGGTCAGGAGAACAGGGGGACGGTGAAGACATGGGGATATGGGGACACAGGGACATGGGGACAGGGGGACACAGGGTCACGGGGACATGGGGACACGGGGATATGTGGACATGGGGACATGGGGAACACAGGGACACGAAGACATGGGGATGGTGGGGACAAGTTGGGGTGATGGGGGTGGTGGGGACAATGGGGACATGGGGGCAGTGGGGGGATGGGGGTGTTGTTGTGAGTCTGGGGTCCCTCTGTGGGTCTGGGGCTGTTCCTATGGGTCCTTCTGTGGGTTGGGGGTCCCACTGTGGGTCAGGGGTCCTTCTGTGGGTCAGAGGTCCTGCTGTGGGTTGGGGTCCCTCTGTGAGTCCAAGCTCTTTCCGTAGGTCGGGGGTCCCGCTGTGGGTTGAGGGTCTTTCCATGGGTCTGGGTTTTTCTCTGTGGGTCTGGGGTCTCTTTATGGCTCGGGGGTCCCACTGTGGGTCAGGGGTCCCTCTGTGGGTCCTGGCTCTTTCCATAGGTCAGGGGTCCCACTGTGGGTCTGGGCCTGTTCCTATGGGTCCCGCCGTGGGCCTGGGGCTGTTGCTGTGGGTCCCACTGTGGGTCTGGAGCTGTTCCTATGGATCTGGGGCAGTTGCTATGGGTCTGGGGCTGTGGCTGTGGGTCTGGGGCTGTGGCTGTGGGTTCTGCTGTGGGTCTGGGGCTGTAGCTGTGGGTCTGGGGTTGTTGCTATGGGTCCCACTGTGGGTCTGGGCTGTTGCTATGGGTCTCACTGTGGGTCTGGGCTGTTGCTATGGGTCTCACTGTGGGTCTGGGCTGTTGCTGTGGGTCTGGGCTGTGGCTGTGGGTCTGGGGCTGTTCCTATGGGTCTGGGCTGTAGCTATGGGTCCCGCCGTGGGTCCGGGGCCGTTGCTGTGGGTCTGGGCTGTGGCTGTGGGTCCGGGGCTGTGGGTCCGGGGCTGTTCCTATGGGTCTGGGCTGTGGCCGTGGGTCCCGCCGTGGGTCCGGGGCCGTTGCTGTGGGTCTGGGCTGTGGCTGTGGGTCTGGGGCTGTGGGTCCGGGGCTGTTCCTATGGGTCCGGGCTGTGGCCGTGGGTCCCGCCGTGGGTCCGGGGCCGTAGCTGTGGGTCGGGGTCCCGCAGTTCCGCTCCTGNTGGGGACATGGGGGCAGTGGGGGGATGGGGGTGTTGTTGTGAGTCTGGGGTCCCTCTGTGGGTCTGGGGCTGTTCCTATGGGTCCTTCTGTGGGTCAGGGGTCCAGCTGTGAGTCTGGGGTCTCTCTATGGTTCAGGGGTCCCGCTGTGGGTCAGGGGTCCTTCAATGGGTCAGAGGTCCTGCTGTGGGTTGGGGTCCCTCTCTGGGTCCTGGCTCTTTCCATAGGTCGGGCATCCCTCTATGGGTCTGGGGCTGTTCCTATGGATCCCGCTGTGGGTTGGGGGTCCCACTGTGGCTCTGGGGCTGTTTCTATGGGCCTGGGGCTGTTGCTGTGGGTCTGGGCTGTTCCTGTGGGTCCTGCCGTGGGTCTGGGGCTGTTGCTATGGGTCCCACTGTGAGTCTGGGCTGTTCCTATGGGTCTGAGGCTGTTCCTATGGGTACTTCTGTGGGTCAGGGTCCAGCTGTGGGCTGGGGTTCTGCTGTGGGTTGGGGGGGTCTCTCTGTGGGTCTGGGGCTGTTCCTATGGGTCTGGAGCTGTGGCTATGGGTCTGGGCTGTAGCTGTGAGTCTGGGGTTGTTGCTGTGGGTCCCGCTGTGGGTCTGGGGCTGTTCCTATGGGTCTGGGGCTGTTGCTGTGGGTCCGGGGCTGTAGCTGTGGGTCTGGGCTGTGGCTGTGGGTCCGGGGCTGTAGCTGTGGGTCTGGGCTGTGGCTGTGGGTTCGGGGCTGTAGCTGTGGGTCTGGGGCTGTAGCTGTGGGTCTGGGCTGTAGCTATGGGTCCCGCCGTGGGTCCGGGGCTGTGGCTGTGGGTCCGGGGCTGTTCCTATGGGTCTGGGCTGTGGCCGTGGGTCCCGCCGTGGGTCCGGGGCTGTAGCTGTGGGTCCGGGGCTGTGGCTGTGGGTCCGGGGCTGTTCCTATGGGTCTGGGCTGTGGCTGTGGGTCTCGCCGTGGGTCCGGGGCTGTGGCTGTGGGTCCGGGACTGTTCCTATGGGTCTGGGCTGTAGCTGTGGGTCCCGCTGTGGGTCCGGGGCTGTTCCTATGGGTCTGGGCTGTGGCCGTGGGTCCGGGGCTGTTCCTATGGGTCTGGGCTGTGGCTGTGGGTCCGGGGCTGTGGCTGTGGGTCTGGGGCTGTTCCTATGGGTCTGGGCTGTAGCTGTGGGTCCCGCTGTGGGTCCGGGGCTGTAGCTGTGGGTCGGGGCTGTTGCTGTGGGTCTGGGCTGTGGCTGTGGGTCCGGGGCTGTTCCTATGGGTCTGGGCTGTGGCTGTGGGTCCGGGGCTGTAGCTGTGGGTCTGGGCTGTGGCCGTGGGTCCCGCCGTGGGTCCGGGGCTGTGGCTGTGGGTCCCGCCGTGGGTCCGGGGCTGTGGCTGTGGGTCCGGGGCTGTTCCTATGGGTCTGGGCTGTGGCCGTGGGTCCCGCCGTGGGTCCCGCCGTGGGTCCCGCCGTGGGTCCGGGGCTGTTCCTATGGGTCCAGGCTGTGGCCGTGGGTCCCGCCGTGGGTCCGGGGCCATAGCTGTGGGTCGGGGTCCCGCAGTTCCGCTCCTGCATGCTCAAGCTCGTGTTCTGCGGCCGGAGCCCGTTCGGGGACGAGGACGACGTGTCCGGNTAGCTGTGGGTCGGGGTCCCGCAGTTCCGCTCCTGCATGCTCAAGCTCGTGTTCTGCGGCCGGAGCCCGTTCGGGGACGAGGACGACGTGTCCGGCTCGTCCCAGGCCACGCAGGTGTCCTCGGTGTCCTCCAGCCAGGTGTCCCCGGCATAGGGCGGCCCCACGGCGCTGCCCCACGGCGCTGCCCCACGGCGCTGCCCCACGGCGGGCCCGACCCAGCCAGGGCTGCCCTACAGCGGACTTGGTCCTGTATGGGGCTCAGCCCCACATCGGGCTCTGCCCCATATCGGGTTTGGCCCTATATTGGGCTCTGCCCCACACCGGGCTCTGCCCCATATCAGGTTTGGCCCCACAATGGGCTCTGCCCCACATCGGGCTCTGCCCCATATCAGGTTTGGCCCCACAATGGGCTCTGCCCCACAATGGGCTCTGCCCCACATCGGGCTCTGCCCCATATCGGGTTTGGCCCCACATCGGGTTTGGCCCCACATCGGGCTCGGCCCCACATCGGGCTCGGCCCCACATTGGGCTCTGCCCCACATCAGGTTTGGCCCCACATCGGGCTCTGCCCCACATCGGGTTTGTCCCTATATTGGGCCCAGCCCTATATTGAGCTCTGCCCCACACCAGGCTCAGCTCTGCCCCACACCAGGCTCAGCTCTATATCAAGCTCTGCCCCACATCGGGCTCTGCCCTATATCATGTTTGGCCCTAGATCGAGCTCTGCCCCACACGGTGTTTGACCCTATATCGGGCTCTGCCCCATATCAGATTTAGCCCTATATAGGTCTCAGCCCTATATCAAGCTCTGCCCCACACCGGGCTCTGCCCCATATCAGGTTTGGCCCCACATTGGGCTCTGCCCCACACCGGGCTCTGCCCCATATCAGGTTTGGCCCCACATTGGGCTCTGCCCCACACCGGGTCAGCCCTATATCGGGTTCTGCCCCACAT